CACATTTAACTTTCAAACGAGGAAAATCTTTGCGAATAATCTTTGACATACTCTGCACATGCATATCTAAATATGTTCGCATGTATCTACATCTCTAGTCGACTCGTTACGGTCTCAAACCTTTGCAGGCCTTAAATGTAAAGTGCGAATTAATTAATTAATTAATTAAAGGTGAGGCAAAAGGTGACATTCATGACGTGAGGTTAAAACCCAACCACTTTCACTCATTAATTAGCAAATCTTGTGCACACACCTTCTTATTTGACAATCCTACTGCATGCTCAATTTATTAAAATATTACAACTTATTCTCATCCTCCATTTGGAGTGACTAATTCTTACATAAAATTTATAAATTTCACCAAAATATAAATTTCATGTTGTTGTTGTCGGCTTGATTTTGTACACATGACAAGTTTTTTTAGCATAATCAATCCTCATTCCCAGCAGTGGACGTACATACATCGGTTCATGTCACGTATAATATTTCGCTACCGCAGAAAGGTACACCTTTGCATTTGCAGCGTTTATATATTTATATTCTCAATCGTGCTCAACTTAAGTACGAAGGAGTCGTCGTCGGCTAAAGTACAAATATATTTATTATTCACGCATCCGCCATCTCAACAAGGAGAGAAACTTGATCCGCTTATTTTATTTCGTGCCATTTCACAAAAGTAACTAGGGATCAAATCACATTACTTATTTTATTATTTTCAAATAAGCTTATACATGTTTTCCTCGTAGTGCTGCAAACTATTTCAGGGTGCAGAAGAAGCGAGGTGCCAACATGTCTTCTGCCTGTATTTTCTGTCTACTGTCGAGAGGTCTGTTTTACCGATGGGGTCGTCCTCGTATCGGTCGTCGTATCGTCTGTGTCTCTCTTTCTCTTTATTTCTGCCCTAGTTCTTGGTTTCCATCTCGCCTAAAACAACATGTGCTTGTCATTCCGCTTCCTTTTTACGCACACGTACACACACAGAGACACATGGATTCTGCACATCTGACTTGCACGCACTTCCGCAAATTCAAGGAGTAAAATCAATCCATTTCCTCTCAAAAACAGAGGCACGTCTCATAACATATCCATTTCGGAGTGACGACCAAGTAACAAATTTGGAAAGGAAGAGAAATGTGTATGTGAACATGATGTCATTGTTTTTCTCCTAATCTCAACCTGAAAGTAAGCTTTGTAAGTAAATATGAATGCACATACGCACTTGCAAATTATTACCTCGTCCTCTCATCTCACCACCCAATCTTTATTCCCCACTAATTTCGCATTAACACGTCCACTTCCACCACAGGGTCCAAATATGGCGAGGGATGGAAATTAGATGAGCTTGGAGTAGGTGCCTCATGAAAAAAAGCTTATTCTTTTTTAATGAGTAATGAAAATGTGTCCAACTCCAAGTAACGATGAGCAAATAACGAGACGAACTGACTTCTTGCGAGTATACACAAGTACAAGTCAGTGAGTAAGCAAAATCAAATCCATATTTCAAATCTGCTCGTGTTATGTATGTGCACTGACAAGATTTAGAAAAGTAAACCAACCAAGAGTTCATGCACAAGTTTTGTGTTGCTTGAGGAAAAAAGGAGGAAAATTGTCCATATTTTTTAAACTAATTTTTATCCTTTCTCTAAATATAACATGACACAGTTGTCTGTTCTGTGAGATAACAGCGAAATTAATAAATTGCAGGGAAAGTTATGAGATTATTTACTTTTATAACTTTGTGCATCATTCGAATGACGCCGACAGCCGATAGAATAGAAAGAAGAGCTAATTCTATAATCATGATTTGCAAATTTTGACCAGAAATTAAAAATTAAAGCCGCAAGTTAATAAATAAATGCATGTAAAAGTTGTGTATAAAAGCATAAAATGAAAAATGGAAGGAATACCCATATTTTTTACTTTATGAAATTGATGAGTTTATTAAAAACTTGTTTAACCTTTGCCCACAATCAGACCGTTGTCATAAATCTATCCACTTTTGGAGCAAGGAAAGAGCGTCAAATATTTTACCTTTACAATGTCAATGTGTCACACTTACAAAAAGATTTCCAATTTCATCAATCTAATTCACACAGAGTGAAACTCGCTTGCTTTTGACGTTGTACTAGCCATACCTCATACTCCTCGAAGAAGGGAGCATCATCATCATAAATAATCATTATAATAATCACCATGAATTGATCCATATTATCGAACCAATAATCAAAATCAAATCAACCACAGACAATAAAAGTTTCTCTCTCAAAAAAGAATAAGGTACTTGTTTTTCTGTAATCGATATTTAAAAAATGCATATATACATACGTACACCAAGTGGAGACTTATTAAGTAGCTTCAGCTACTTTATGGGAAGACTTTGTCCGTCTGTCTGTCTGTCCGTCGGCAGGATAATGGGAGAAGGGATCGAGATAATCGAATATGACCCTAGGAGAAGGATCCTATCAATTTTTGGGGTCAATCAGAACACCACCCCCCTCGAGGTCAGGGGGTGTGGTCACATATTTTTTGGGGGAATTACTTGTTTCACCCTATTGCTACATTTGCTACGGTTTATTTATTTAAGATGACGACCACTATTTGTAGTGCATCCAAACTACTAAATATTATACACACGTCGTCTTATAAATAGTATAGTAGTTTTTTGGTCAGGTTTTTACAAACAACTCATCGGAATATTTCATGCTCCATTTCCCTCTTTGTGTGTACTTTGGTATGAATATGAGCAGTGATTCTGAAACTATGATAATAATGCACACAAAAGGAAGCCTTTAGCCATGCACACGTTCCGTACGATCCCACTTTTGGTGGTCGCGTATTTTAATAAAATCATCAAAAAGCAACTTCCTTTTGTGCAAAATAAGTATAATTTTTGTTTGATTTTTATTTGTACGTAGATAAATTTGGAACCTATATAAAATTCTAAAATTTGCATTTGCTCCTACTCACACGAGAACGAGAACGTGCATCATCTTCACTTCTTATTTACATGGATGCATTTTTGGCAAAGCCTTTCAGTAATTTAAGGTTTAGCAAACACACACTTAAAATTGGTAATGGCGATGATTATGAGCAAACCAAAAGGTTTTTCTATTCTTCTATCCTGTTTTCTAATCTTTATCAGGATTTCTGCTGTTTGAGGAAGAAATTAGCTGGTGAGCTGAACCGGGACAAACAAGTGTTTTTCGGAAAAACAAATCAAAGTTGTTGCCAAAGTTCGTATATGGCAGTCATCTTATCATCTTATTTCTTTCATCATCGTTTCATCTAAAAAAGATAAGCTGTCTTAATGTGTGCGAGAGAGAGAGAGCTAGAAATGCCGAGTTAGTGGCGTAATAAATACATGTACATTCTCGCATATACGATTCTTTAATAGTACAGCCACCGCACAGCGGAGATGCACAAACCTTCTTATCTTTACCTGCTTAATTGCCCAGTTTACGGGATTCTTGCCCAAATTATTTCTCGTTATTTAGCAACTCTACATACATAAGTAAGTAGTTCTCTCTGCGGTGTGATTCACCTCCTCGTCAACGTCAACCCGATTCCTTCCTTGGCTTTCTGCGGAATTTTTTGCAAATCATTTTGCACAAGCATTAAAATAATGGAACAATTATCGTATCCGTTCCAACTTTAGTTCTGCTTCTGTCTCTCTCGTACGATATGCTGCAAGGAAGATTATTATTAAATCTGAAATAAATATGGCAGAGTACCCGACAAGCGAAGTTCTAGCACGTCGTACAACCTGCTGCTGCTACTCCTATCATCTCGCTATTATTACGCCATTAACTCTGCTGCAGCTAGTGTAGTGCAGTGGCGTTCTCGAGCAAAAAAGTAGAAAAAATTGACCATGAACTTTACCGATTCGTTTTTGTTGTTGATACTCCGAACAAACAACAAGAAAGAAGATAGAAAGAACTCTTTTAACAACTTGTTCTTCTCTTGAGGCTTTACATAAGAAGTCTGTAGTGCCATCAGGACGAGGGGATGCATATAAATACATGAGACACGACATGATGTCATCCGCACATTAACTGCTCCATATATATGTCCTATCCGTTCCGACACACCCTGTCCCCTCCCCCACCCAAGTTGCTCAATAAATAATTGTTATTCTAATTTCAAACTAGTCTACCATCCTCCCAAATCCTCAAATTGAAAACTAAACTCCACACGAGAGGAAAACCCTAACATCTATCTTGTCAAGAGAGTCTTATTCCTATCAAGTTCAAAACCACCATGAAAATCCTGGCATGATGTAATGTTCGCATGCACAAATTTTTTCACTCTTTCACCATCAGCCTACTTTTATTACCCGACCCACGAGAAGAACGAGTCTGGCACGACATAATAATTATTATTAAAAAGAACCCATCCAATCCAGGCTCAAGGTCAGTTATCGACCACGGAATTTTTAGCATCTTCTTCTCTCTCCTTGTCATTCATACGTACGTAATGTTGTTGTCAAGTTTAAGTCAACCTGACGGACAAAGGAATAAAACCTGACGGATTATAGAATGCGCACTATCGGGTGACCATCTTGATCAGATATTATTTAATTCGGAATCTCTACCGGGAATACGTCCCCATTTGTTTCAACATGCTCATCACGAGACGGGGGATGCATTCATAATAATAAATAATCCCGAGTAATGCACACATACTGCATACGTATGCATATTAGCTATTTTTTAGTTTATTTAGGCAGTGCAGCGTTCTTCCCTGCATTCTAAAATGGAATCAGAGTCCTGTAATGTAATGACTGCCATGATTTATTTATGGTCATGTAAACTAAGTGCCGTCCGCCGTAAATAAATTAATGCGCACTGTGTATGAGTGAGTGAGTAAATATTGCTGTATGCATGCCTCCGAATTCGATTGATGAATAATCAATTACTCTTCAATCGCATTCACTCTGCATAACAGAGAAAAAAATTCAATTCTAGTGGGGAAAAAATGGTTTTTCCTCTCTCCAGTCAGTGTAAATATTCTAATCCCGACTTTATTAAAGGCACGTTTCTTCATCCAGTCAAGTGTAGAACATGACGGTCGTCCACTGCATTAGACACGCAGTGAGTGAAAAGATTCAGAAATTTGGACTCCTCGTCACGTATGTAGTGCTTTTGATATTGGATAGATTTTTGTTGGAAATTAAGGTGGTGTTCATGCCAAAAAGTTGTGGGAGAGAGAGTGTCGAGTGGATGAACAAATATTGATTGTATGACTTGTAAATTCCATTCTGGGAGAAATATAGTTCAGATTGATTTCCAACGTCGGGGATGCATTCACATGCATTCACATCACACACACTGGAAGAAGAAGGGGAAGAACATTCATCTTGTGTACTCGATAGAATGCCATGAATGAAAGAACAATGACTTATTGAACTCACAAAAGGCGAGGAAACATGTCGACGAGACGAAGGAATCGCGTGCAAGTAATGACACCAATAATAAATGGGCAATTTGCTACAATTTCTGCCAAACTTCGTTCCTCCATCGCTACTCTTCCAATTTCGTTCTTTGACCTTTATTATCCAAGTACAAAGGCTGACGAGATGATGAGAATTACGGCAGTGATTTTTAAGTCTACTAGCCAAAATCTGCATTAAAAAATATATGTACATCTGCAATTCCATTCAAAATTAAACAACCGGCTAGGTACACACATGCATTTTCAATTCTTCAACTTGCACATTTTTTATACCTCCATTAAAAAAATATAATGATTTGCTTATTACCACCCTTTTTCATCAAGGGGACAAACTACCCGTAATAAAAATTTCATTTCACTCATCGCGTACCGGTGACCAACTTCTGTCATAGTTTTAAACATGTATCGAATCTCTCTCTGATAAGAATGGTGTGGCACCTTTCAGTCCAAATGTGCCACTACTCGTCCACTGCAATGCAGGGGCCGCGGAAGCTGTGTGGACATGTGGGGACATTTCCATAGGAGGTAGGGGTTTGTATAACATGGGGAGATGCTGGGGACATCAAAAAACCGTGGGGACTGTCCCCACCCTTCCTCCGCGGCCACTGCACTGCATTATTGCTTTCGTAATTAATCATCTCTCCTTTTTCTCTTCTTCTTCATCGTTCCTACTTATTAATGAAGTTGGACAAGCAAGTGTCACACCACACAGAGGACGGCCGACGCCATAAAACAAGCCTTGCATTTCTTCAAACTTTTTAATATCACACAATGACAGTCAAGCCAGACCACATGCACACCAGGGCTGCGCATCTATATAAAAAAACTTGACACATATCCTTTAGAAATATGGACATTATTTCTTCTTGTGGCAAACACTTATTACCTCTGACAGGATTTCAACCAAATTAATAAACTGCATCCATGCATGCATGCAGGAACATATTACGGTTGGATTTTTTTTCACGAAAATTTATGGCTTAATCAAAACCATCATCATCATCAACCAATTTGCGAATATGTAGTGCGGCGACTCGGTGTGTGGTATATGTAGATGTTCACAAAACAATTGCCAAATTGTTTAATATTTACCACCACTAAGCAGTTTACAGTTAGTTAACTTCGGAATGTTTTTGTGAATCGTAAAATTCCCCGAAATTAATGGAGGAAATAATAATTTACAGAGGGAAAGAAAAAGGAATTGGAATGAATGCGGTTTAGTTTTGTTGGCATAAACAAAATCAACTAGCATGATGAATTTGCTGATAAAATCCCACGTTTAATCTTGAATTGATCAATTGCTTAATTAACAATATGAAGCCGTACAAGCAGTTCAAATCATAATGAGGAGAAGACGAAATTCTACACGCACACAGAGTTGGATGAAGAGCATGATTTTATAAATTTGACTCCTTCCAACAAACAAACAAGACTACGATGTACGTCGACAGGAGCTGAAAGTTGTCAAGTGACTTCTGTTCATTCGCGATGACATTGAATTGACGACATCGACACAATACGTAACAAAATAGTGACATTTTTGTTTCGATCTCAATATCTTGAGAATTGAGTGAGTAAATGAAACCCAATAAATCAGGAATCATCATTCTGCTGGGTCCATCCATGACACAAAATAAAATGATAATATCGAATTGCAATTCCGAGGCGGACAAGAATTCCTCCACGTTCATCATCACCACCAATGTTCGAAAAGTAACAGCCTCCCAGAAAAAGTGGAGAAGATGAGATAAAACCGCAATACGAAATTCGGCATTCTTTCCTTCTTCTTTGTACACGTAAAATTTTATGGTTTGTGGTTTTGTTTGAGAAAGAAGAAGAAAAAGAAGGACTTACTTTGTGGATGGATTGGGATGCCATTTTATTTCATGTGCAAATCTTTACTTTACTTACTTCCATGTCATTCTTGTGTAACATTAATTTTTTTTCAAGTGGAAGAGAGACGAGGAATTACTTTGCCGTGCATTGTTGCTTGGTTGGTCGTCGAGGACAAATCAGCCATGACATGATGGTGTAAGATTTGAGATAAAAAAACGTATTTTAAATACTCATCCCATCATAATGGTGATGCAATTGGTGGGTTTAATGATGTAATATTTGTGTCTAAATACTATGCAATTTATAGAAGCTGTCTGTATAATAAATCGAGTTTGTAAATAGCGTGGTGCGATTTAATATTATTTTTTTACTACGAATTCCGCATACATTTGCCATATTAAAGCCCCATAATTTATCGATTTCTCATATTTTACCCACATTATTGATATTGTTTCGATTAAAAATCTGTGCCCATAGTTTACCCAGCCACCTGCGCCCAGCAGGCCTGTGTCAATCTGTGGATTTATGTAATTGCTGTGAAAAGAAGAAAGAAAAGGCTGTTCACATTTATTGCTACAGGTAAAAAGAAAAAATTAACAAATCCATTTCCAATCTGTTCATAAATTTATTTATTCCCTACGGTACACAGACGTCTACAATTTAGCAATTTATTTTCATAACGTCGAATCTCATTCATATAAAGGGAATAATTTTAAATGAAAAAGTGGACTGAAACTGAAATGCAAAACAACTTTTAAACTTACAGGATACGAATCGATGATTGCTTGTCTTGCTCCTGTGCAGCTGCGGCTTAATAATCTTGCTAATAAATTAATTAGCAGAGAAGGTGAACCAGGTGAACTGAACTTGTAACACGTACTTGCAATAGGTACACAGAGTCGTCGTAAATCTGCTGCTGCTGCAGTTCTTCTAGAATGCACGTGGATACAGCGTGGATCTCAAAACAGTATGCATGTCATGAATAATAGTCTAATTACTTATTAAAAAGTGTTCTCTGCTTTCAAGAAATTTTCCCAAAGTTCCCAGAAAAACAAGAATCCATCTCTGTGACGTAACAATTATATGTAGATTCATGAATGAGCAAATTATTTCACATTTGCGAATCAATGATGAGAATTATGCAAATTCAGTAACCAACCCTGCAACATTAAGTTTCCTCTTATCTCTACTTCTCCAAATTTAATAAGTATGTTTGCAAATATTATACAATCGCATCGCATCGCCCAACCCATTTCCATCCATGGGTGCTGTCTAATCGTCTGGCTGGCTGTACATGCATATTTTCTGCCCTGTATACAATTCTTGTTATTTTTTCACGTTGAATAATTACGGCTGGAAAAGACCTTCACTCCGCAAAACAAAGTCAGTCATTAAACAATAATATTTAAGCAAATATCAAACACTACTCGGTAATATTATCATTACACTTTGTGTACCTCGCATTTATTTACACCATTAATTCTCGTAGTGAGCGTGTAGCCTTGTTTAAAAAATAATGTGAGAAATCATCATCGTTAAATGCGTATATAATGGATCCATCCCTTTAATACGGCCACATTCCGAAAATTCTTCTCCAAATCAATCAATCAATCAGCAAGTCAATCAATATTTTCATGCTTCACAATACGTACGCAACTCTTTGCATTCATCTTTCTAATCTGTCGAGAATGAGGTGAGATAAAAATCATGATGCGAGTGAAGTGGGTACAATGATTCAGTTCGATTCCCTGATATCCAATATTTCCAGTCACTTACATATTCAATGCCAGGCCGTGTCAGCACACATGACTATGTACACAAGTGGAATTTGTGTATGTATGTGGTCGCGATAAGCACTGATAACACGTTATCTTATTCAGTCTCATTAGCAATGACGATGGGTTAAAATCTTACAAAATTTTCTCTCTCTCACTTTGTGCAAACCACCTGAAATTCCAACAAATTGGCGAAAACAGGTGCGAATAATGGAAAAAAGAGAGGTGTATGTATATAAAATAGAAATGTGTCAAAAATGCCGTCTCCCCCCAAATTACGTTAAGTTCCTTCTCATTAAAGGAAATGAATGAACAAACATGGTCACGTTTTCACGAATTTTTCCTCGTAATTTGCCCAAATCATTGCACCATGCCAAAATCCAATGCCACACAGACAAGCCAACTGTATAGACACAAGAAATTGCAAAGAATGGCTGTTTGTGCAGCAAACACTTGGATGCAAACTTTTCAACTTGTGTATTGTATGCGCTTCATGCACATTATTATTAAGAAGTAAAAGGCATAATGGAGTAGACCAAGTACTAACTAACTGACTTGTAGACCCAATAATAAAAATAACAGTCTCGTGTATTAGTCCCACTGCAAGGACCAACTATAACTTCCTCAGAATGTACTATTCAGTCACTATTATTTGTACGAAATAAATGGTCCGTAATGATTTTCCTCCACCACAACCCGTACCGTAATACAGCAAACTAGCAAAAAGGTACATACGTACATAGTCGTACAACAATGTCCTAAAAATGTAATAGCAATAATGCAGGCGCAATTACACTCATTCTCATCGTCGTGATTTACTGACTCTTCTAACCAACCAACAAGCTAACATTGTGACAGTTGTGTGTCACCCTCATGTCATAACTAAAATGTAGCTGCGAGCCCTTTACTCGTCATGTTTTTTGCCACTGCATTGAACTATTGTCGAAATCCCATACACACTTTTGTTGGTTGCCTTTGCATCTGGGAAGATAATTAAGGGAGGCGTGTCTCATCCCTGTACTGCTCAGTATCATTCATTAAATCTGAAGTTTGGTGGGTCGGGTCGATTAAATTACTAATCACGAAATCCGAGCTGAATCCAATCCAATGCAAACAATAAATATGTTCAACTCACACGAACCAATTTCTATTATCGGTCTCAACGTCGCCTTCAGGATCTCACTCACCTGGTGATGACAAAGTAAAAATAGAGAATAAAATAATGAATCCGACGCACCTTAATAGTTCCACTTTGGCTTCTCTCAAACACGTTGAGACTCCCCACGCTGCCGCAGGTCCGCAAGGCGAGTGGGTTTGACCTCACTGGACCGGAGGATGTGCGCCTTCCCAGGAGCGAGGGGCCTTTGAGGATGTGACTCTTTTTCGCCAAACTTCCCTCCGCCATGATTTCACCTTGAGTTTTGCACTGATTTAATAGTTTAAGAAAGGCTTCCACTTGGAACACAATAGTTTCACAAAAAAGGCAGCAAAAATTGAATAAGTTTTTCACTATTGTTACCACATTTTGATGAACCACTAATTTGTGTGTCTTTCATTTTCGCCCGAATTTGAGAAAATTCCAGGAGCGGAGAGAGCAAACGTATGTCTTGATATATCTGACAGCCAGCAGGAACCTATGCAATCGAACACTCGGGCAGCTAGAATACAAGGAAGAGGGCGACGATAATAAGACTGGGAGCGAAATTCTGCATGGATGGACCGAATGGAATCCGGGAGATTTTATCGATCCATTAGTTCAGACCCTGCGTCAAACAATCAAAAACTGGAACCCGAGTTTCGGCTTTTCTTTTCCCAACACTGCTCAATTCATAAATTTCTCCACGTTCATAAATCCTTTAGCACCAAACCACCAACCCGTCCAAGTAAATAGATCAAGTCTTCAATTATTAACGTGGACACACAAAAGAGTCTCGTTAAGGATCGAAATTACGCAAAATCACCGGTTTTTAGAAGATTTTACAATATTTACACCAATTTAATACAAATATCGGCACCAGGCTTGACCGACACAGTCCAATTGCACACCGGCTAATCCACACTGTTCCAGAAGCACTTTTATGATCCGTTCTTCTCCAGGCACAGCGGCAGGCGACTAATGTATGGATTCCCAAAATATGCTTATTATCGAGAGAATATTATTGGCATTATCGAAGAATTCTGGGCTAAAGTCTAGATAAGGAAACGAGTCCACTAGATACACTGCACTGGTGGGCACTGGAACAAGAAGCTCAATTCCAGGATAATGAAATGGTCAAATATTACGGTATGATGATGATGATGATAAGCTCTCTGTTCTGGTAGTCAGTCCACACTAAATCCAGTATTGTTACGCGAGTGGTATTTCTACCTGCCTCCGCTTCAATATTATATTAGTGCTACGACGATATTGCTCCATTTTTATGGAGGTGGTCTTCTGAATTTGGTTAAATGAAGCTGCATGAATATGAAAATTGTTTAGCAGAAGGAACAAAAAACTGTAGAGACACCACGATCAGAGACTGACTGACGATGGACTGACTGACTGCATGGACTTTCAGTTCATGAATCTTGCATGAATCGCATCTCACTCACCTGCTGCTGCATAGCAAATAGCATAATAACATAACAATCACTGCTAACTGGCTAACTATGTAGGTACGTGGCATGAAGTGAGCATTTATTTATATTTAGTGGGTGAGTGAGATTGGTTTGGATTTTGTATCGTTTTACAGCATTACTTATTTTATTTCGTGTTTATTACCATTTGTTATTATGTTATTAAGAGTTGTATAACGTATGTGTAGTTATGTGCACTTGGTCGTCAGTTGGGGGATGGATGGCAGGGGCAGAATTATGAAATCAGACACAATTACCAGAACGATATATCATAATTACTATTGATTTAGATATTGGGACTGTCAAGTGCTATTGAAATATTTTATGTACTTATGTATGCATTGCATATCTAGAAGGGTTCATTGCTAAGTAGGTTTGTTCAGATTTATAGTCTCAATTTAAGGAATTTACTATTTAAACCTTTTCAAAAGAAAAATACACATAATTTAGTTGTTTCTACTGGGAAACAATTTTGGAAACATTTGTCAATACAATACTTTATATTTACAAATAATTAAACATTACTGCTGTACATTTTCAAAATTTCCATGCATATAGAAACTTTTTTAAACTCCAGCTCCATTTAATATTTTGCTGTACGGACACAAAAAACCAACGTAAAACTTTACATCATTTTTTACTACTGATCATTTAAATTTAATTTAATCATAACCATATGCAACTTTAAAATTAAACTAAAAAACATGACCCAAATTTTGTTTTAATTTCCATACACAAAGTTTCAAAAAACCGTCGCAACTTGTCTCCAAGTTCTCAATCGGTCCCCAACCCGTTGAGACGAGACATTGAAATACACAAAACGTGGGAATTGAAAGGAAAAAAACCACAATCACTCAGATGCAAGTTAGTTGATATATTGGTTCATCACTGGCTTTTAAGTTTATAATTTTGAAACGTATTATATTAATTCTATTTCTGGTAAATTTAATTGTTATCTTGATTAGTTAAGAAAAAAAGTTTCCCCTCTGCGTCCTTGGTATTTATTTTGTGGTAGATTTCAACCAAATGTTCCACTACCGTCCGTTTTGACATGTTCATTAAAAATGTGGACAAATTTTCAAAAATTGGGTTCTTCTGCCCTTAAATTTGGAGGAATTTGTGCAAAATGGGGGATCATTCTGCATTGCACGTTCGAATATGTGGGGGATTTTGTCATTGTAAGTTGTCTGATGATTAATTCTACCCAGAATGAGTGAAAGAAAGTGGTAGTTAATTAATTAATTACATTGTTTTGTTCTGAAGTGTTCCGGGCCAAGTATGGAGCCCAACATTCGAAACCACGACATCCTCTTCACGGAGCACATATCCCCAAAAATGGGGACTTTAAACCGAGGTGACATTGTAAGTTGAATCAATTCCGAATATATATTTGAATGTAAAATGATTAAGTAAGGGTCGGTTTTGAGTACAAACTTTCATTGCTGATTATATAAGCATCTTAGTAAATGGGTGAAGTGGTAAATTAAAATTTAGGTATTTGTTAAAATAACGCAAACAGTATACATACAAATATACATGCAAAGCCACCACATGTAACTTAATTTTTCTCTCATCGTCAATTATATAATAACACAGATGATTACAATAACAATTATAATTATTACAGATAATTGCAAGATCACCATCAAATCCTTGTCAATTCGTTTGCAAACGGGTGGTAGCCTTACCAGGGGACCATTTACTTCAGACTGATGGAAATCTTAAACATGTATGTACACACACGAATACGTTGCATTCGGTGACACAACAAATAAATATTGCTATAATTCCATTGCAGATACCCAAAGGTCACATTTGGATCGAGGGAGATAACTCACCAAATTCAACCGACTCTCGGATGTACGGCCCCATCCCGATCGGACTCGTGAGGGGACGAGCCATTCTGAGGCTATGGCCCTTGCTAGATGCCAAATTTCTCTTAACACCTAACCGAATGTAGTCTATAAAGTTTACAATACAATGTTGAAATTTTAAAAAAGGAAGTGATATTAATAATAATAAAGGCAAAAAAGGCAATCATAATAGATGATTTGATATGTAATTTAGTTGTGGGTTTTATTTTTTATTGGGAGATCAGTTCTCGATGGAAAGTTAATTGGCTAGGTTTTTACACATTTAGTTCATTTTATTTTATGGGTTTCGTCTTTTTAGCTTCCTTAACTTTGGTTATTCCTTCCCCAATCTTTTTAAATTCTTGTAGTTGACTCAACTTTGTAATATTTTTGCTCCTCAATAATTCTAACATGTATTGTTCTTCAGGTTCACACAGTTGGGCGTCTGATAGAACGTTGATTATATTGGAAAATAAGGAATTGACTTCTTGCAACGTGTTCGTAATAGTTGTCTTAATTAGTGAGATGGCTTGCGTTCCTCCCCCATTACCACCAGCGCCAGGACTACTTCCTGTCTCTGATCCATCGGTTTCTGAAGAGTCGGGAACTTTGAAGTACTTTAATGTCCTCCCATTCCGTTTTTGGAGAGGTCTGTAGTTATAATATTCCTCTTCATCCGCGTCGTGCAGGCGGCGAAATACTTCCAACTGCAAGAATATTACCAGTTTTACCACATGGTCCACATCGCCATGATCGTTAAACGAACCTGTTCACTCGATATCGAAATGGGACATAGGAACACGGTCCATGCGACCTTCTCCGTGCACGGCGGCGTCGTCAAGGATCCCATATATCGCACAAAATCCAAATGTTTGGGAAATAATTTATGTAAATTTAACGATTGGTAGCTGAACATTAATTTATTTCCTGGATTCTGAACCACTTTCAGCCTCGCAGCGTCCACGATGGGATGCAGGGATGGGTTTTCCAACCCCAACTGAATATACATAAGTAGGACAAAATCAGTCGGCACCATTGCAAATTAGTAAAAACACGAGGCAAATTAGTTGCAAGAAAATCCCAGCAATTTAGGCCAAGCACGTATTCAAGTACCTCACACAAAATACCTAAAACCAACACGGCATCGTGATCCTCAGAATTCTCTTGGAGGGCGTGACTCAAGTTGGAATATTTTGTTTTGTAATGAACTAAATGGATTTCCATTGGATATCTGTTATCAAAAGGGAACACATTGGTCATTATTATTTCTTAAAATATTACAATATAGTCACCTTTGACCCTGCAAGGTATGCTCCGACCCAACCTCGTCCCTATCTCCCCAGTGGAAGTGCATCTGAGAAAATGTGTAGCGATGATGAAGTCCAGCCCCTGATAAGCCTAAGGAAGAAGTGGGCTCTCTGATGTTTCCATTCAGTTGGACTTGAACTGTAAGTATGCAAATGCTTCACTTTTTTGCCCCATTAACTTCAACATGATTTCTTCTAATTATTTTAGAGAATAAAGTAGTAAACTGTTAAGTTGAGGTGTTTACAAGTGTGACCCCGATTCGTAAAGAAGAATCCCTTCTGACTCTGTTGGTACTGCGAGCTGAACCAAACCTTTGTGTACCCCCAGCTAACACCGTGATCCTTGTACCGGATGTCGATCGGAGATTGATGCAAGCCACTGGTGCATTCTCCACCCCAAGCAAGGGGCCCTATAGTTGAAGTTAATAAATTCATTCAAAATAAGTAATAATTTTACAAAATTTCAATTGCTCCCATACCTCGTTCCATGTCCTTTACATCGTACGTATACTCGTCTACATAAAATATGAAAAAAATTCGGTTAATAACTAGCCTGAAATTTCAAAAAAGCTGTACATAACACCTCCTCCTTACCCCCAAAATTTTTATGCGGATGATGTGCCCCCTCTCCTTTATTTGTGAAAAGAAACGCCACCAAGGACACAACAAGAACGACCGATACGACCATCCTGTCAGCACTGACGCACTACGACTTCTTTTATTTTTTACGTTGAAAAACGTCTTTTAAAGTAATAACGTTTTCCACCACCGGATAATTCCAGGTGTAAATCGTCTCCAAAACTGAGACGAAATCCATCCGGATCACGACTGATATTTATCTGCTCATCAGTTCCAGTTCTATCCCATCATCATCTTGTCGATTTAAATGGCATGATTGATTACTGCACACCATAACATATATCACAAAAAACCTTACTCATACATACACCACGGAAAAAAGTGTCACTTGATTCTTCGTCATTGTTTCGCTGGCAAGGTAAAGGTGAATCTGGTTGCACATGGGTAAATGAATCTTTAATCGTATCGTTCCCTTGAATTGCTCGAGTCTGAGAGACGACGAGTTGAATCTGCTGCATACATTTAGTAGTTGCACAAAAAGTCCAAAAAATACACTCGGGATTTACCCAGACCACAATTAGCAACAAGTAATCCCTTCGAACGATTAAAATGTCCAAAAATAACTTTACAAAAATAGAAAAATGTCTAAAAATGTTATTTCTACGATTATACAATAACACAACAATGATTGATAAGTCTGAGTTCTGACAATGCGAACCCACACATTCTGAATGATGAATGACGATAACAATGAATTTCACTTCTTTTTCTCCCTGTCCGTTTATGCTTGACTTGTCCTTTTTTGAGAGATAATGCATAATTTCGACTGTTTTTTACACCTTGATTGCGTCACAAAAAAATCCAACATAATTCATCTAAGCATTCCCCTTATTATTGCACTTTTATTAAGTAGCAAAGGCAGAAAAATGTATGCGTCAAGTGAAGTGTATCATTGCACACGTATATATTTTTACCGAGTCAACGTGCAATCTTATCGTGCATGCATTGTTAGCATCTTGCATGCATTGTAAGTGAGGAACGCTTTTTTCTATCAAGTTCGATTCGTAATATTCGTAAATACATTCATAAACGTTTCCTTTTCGCATATCCAATAATATCGTAAAATCATGTGAGCCAAAAATTGCTTCTTTTTTGCTGTGATATGTGCTCCCTTGGTCTTGGTCCCAATATAGCGAAATGCAAATGGAGGTAAGGTAAGGTAACGATTCGATAATGATGATTATTAATATCTATCTGACAATGAGCTCAACTTGTGAGTGAGGTGAGCACAACGATGTTAATGTTAAGCTAAGGTTAAGGTTGGAATCTGTGTTAAGTATGTGGCTGTCAGATTTTGATGTCTTTATATAATCAAGTTTACCAAATACGAGCTCGTCGTCGTGAATAGTAATAAGTAAGCAAGAATGCAGTAGTAGCTACTTATCATTCATGCGTAAAATAATGAATGATTATTTATTAATGTAAATATGCACTCTGTTTTGTTGACGCTGTCGGAAAGAAATTGGCAAAGGGTACAAATATTGGGAAATAGGAAAAGTTGTAACTTACAGAACGGTAAATTGTCTATTTTGACTCACAGCTATTGAGACAAAAACAATGGGCATAGGTTTAGGATACGGGTGCAAGACTAGCAGTATGAATTTAGTAAAGGTACATATTGTTAGTTGCAATTACAATCCAAAAAATAGGACAGGATTAAATTTTTGTTAATATTTACATATTCACTCCTTAACTTGATATGCACCAATAATTATTGTATCCGTATAATCTATAGATTATATGGATATTATATTATATTAAAGTAATATGTATACATATTACTTTAAACTACCACAGTTTAGAAATTTAATAGTACCAGAATTCATAATATGGACACTCGTTAAGGAGAGCGATTCGAAAATATAAAATTTTGATGCCATCATAAAGTGGGGACGATCCTTGTCAAATAATGACGGTCAAAAAGCTGGGATGAAGGTAGCTAGGTCAATACTCAAGCCTCTTGATGGCACGCCACGTGTCCAGTCATACCGTCAAGGGGTGGTTCTTAGACTTCATAACTACTTTTTCGCCGTTGATTTTTATTGGCTTGAAGTCATTGTCATCTTCCTGGAAACCTTTCGTCATCCGATGAGTGATTCGTCTACGCCATATCAGCTGGTGACGTACTTCTTCAAGGTTTTGAACTCAAGAAAGAAACGTCATATTTCTTTGTTTTGCGTGACTTTTCATGTATGGAAAATTTACTCACAAGGGACACTCACGACCTGTCGTTTGAGTCCAGGGTACCCACTATGTTTTTTAGAATCTACTAGGACCCCTGATGAAGGATTCATTCATATTTCCGTGTAAAACTCATATTTGGCCCAATGGCGTGGCGCTAAACTTAAAAATTTGCATTTTCGACCAATTTCAAACCCTCATAACTTTTGCAGTTTATGTCGGATTTTTAAAATTTTATGCTTAAAATGATCAGAAAAGTCGAAATTTTAGAGAAAAAAATAAAAATAAAAAAATTTTAATTTTTGAGATATTTTTAGCATTTTTTCGACGAACCCGAAATTTCGAAATTTTGAGAAAAGTTAAAAGCGATAATTTTAGAAAAAATTTCATAGAATACGAAAGTTGAACTCCTTGTCATGATTTTTGCCAAAAATTTTGGAAATCCGCCCAGGATTTCAAAAGTTATGGCGGTTTTAAAATGAAAAACCATCAAATTTGGCGAATTTGGCGCCACGCCATGGCGCCAAATATGAGTTTTACACGGAAATATGAATGAATCCTTCATCAGGGGTCCTAGTAGATTCTAAAAAACATAGTGGGTACCCTGGACTCAAACGACAGGTCGTGAGTGTCCCTTGTCAGATTATCTGTCACATCATAAGTTGATAACGACATTCCTAATAATCTTTAGAAGCCCAATTTGAACGAAGAACAGAAAAGTGCTGTTCGACGTGTATTGGATGGACAAACGAGATCGAACGTTATTTTTGTCCCATCACGTTGCTTTATAAACTTACATACATTCGTGTTTCTTATGTATTGATTGTGAATCATGTTGAATCATGTTGTGTGGTAACATGTTGAATATACATACACAGTTACCACAACTCTTACGTAATAATAGAGTAGCATATCGTCGTTGAAGCTGCCAAAAGGGCCATCTCCATTTTGTGTTAATTGCCAAAAGGGCCTTCTCCAAAAACGAAATTTTTCAGGAGAGCATAAAAACAAAAAATACCTATGAAACGCAATATTGTTATAATTACGCACATATAGACAACTTTTATTCACTCAAATAAATTGTTAACAACAAATGAGTGTATTTTACAACTGTTTATCAGTTTATTTACCACTCTTTATGAGGAAAATATAGTAAAGTGCATGAAACTCAATAGGAATTACAGATGTTTAAATTCTGATCTCCGATTTTGATGCCCTTTGCATATGTTGTAGTACTGGGGGAGTATAGGAAAAGTGAAGGAGGGTTTGCCTCCATGACCCCCCTTGCGCTAACCACACCCCCTCAAAGAGTAAAAGAAAACCGTTTTTGCTCGTTTACATTTTCACTAAAAATTCAGTTTTTCTCATACTTCGAAAATTCTTGTACTATTGTAGTCCCAAATAGTTGGTTTTTCATGTACAGTATAGTATCAAATTTAACTTTTTTGAAATTCTGATTTTTTCAGAAAATAAAATTTCGAAAATCTTTCGAAAATTAAAAAGATAGAATTTGATATCGAATAGGATAACACAACTATCCAAAACCAAGGAAATGTAGGAAATGTCAAAATCTGAAGAAAACAGGATTTTTGGTGAACAATTAGACGAGTGAAAACAGCGTTTTCTTGCTTTTTGAGATGGTGTAACAGGCGCAAATGGGGTCATAGAGGAAAACCCTCCTTCACTTTTCCTGCACTTACCTAGAATTACCACATACCAAAAAAGCTTCGGAATCAGAGATTCATACAATAAGGTGTTATATGCACCTCAATTACTCTCGCTTCCAACGCTTATTTAGGAAGTTCCCGAATTTTCTAAGATTTTTTAGTTGGACTTATCTTGTTCAGAAAATTCTGTAGAATTCATTGACCCTAAAATCTCAGTACCCCCCAAAAGTGGACTTGGCCCCTTTGCCAATTGACACAAAAAGGAGAAGGCCCTTTTGGCAGCTTCAACGACGATATGCATATTAAGCGAGTTTGATCACATCAAATTAGCTAAAGTCATTTTGCACACTTCATAAAGTATGGATTTCGCACATTCAACATTACACGGAAAACTTTTTTATTTCCTTTACATGACGAAATGCAACAAATGATTGCCTTATCGCTGTACCATGTGCAAATGACAATACCAAATTCTGTGACATTTCCAATACTGAGTTTTCAGCATTTTGTTTCTGGATTATAAATATCTGTTGTTAGAGTTTATTTATTTTTCTATTTCTTTATGTAATTTTGAAGGATTCGTCGTACCTTTTTGTCCATTTTAAGCTGTGTGCATTCGAAATTGTCGTAAACCATCTAAAACTTACAATGACTATGATCATTTGTACTCCGATAGATCTTTAACCTAAAAAAGTTCTAGCAAAACATGCTATAAAACATAAAATCAATTAAAAATGAGACCGCGACAAACGTGACATAATGTCGAATACTTTTACCACTTCGTTATTTTTATCTCTGTTGAAACATCCATCCAAACCCCAACTTTGTCCCCTACAAGAATAACAAGTGAAAGTAATTGTATAAATTTCGCAGTTTGTTTACCCCATAAATTACCTCAAACTTTCTCGCCGAATTGAATGCACTTTTGCAACAACCTTGCCGTTTCTAGCAGCCATTTTTATGTAATTCCGAATTTTCCGTTTCATAACATCATCTCCACTTCACTATTGGTTAATAGCTTTTTGGTGAACTTGAACAAGTAAAAGTATTCTGGAGGCCGTAGTTGGATTAGATTTGGGACATTGTGAGGCCGTCTCGTCCTCTGCATCACAATTGACAATAAATATCGAAAGGCAGACAAAATCACAAATCACTGAATGTCACCTAGCCACCTTGAGCAAAGAAATGTCACAGGTTTCCAAGATTTAGGAGCGTTTTAAATAAAAAAAGTAGGTAAATTTTCAAATGCGATTATCCAGTCTCCACCGATAAGTAATAAGGTGTCACTCAGATTCTGGAGATATCCAACTCCCATGCAACTTGGCACTTGTGTATCTCGCATCGCATCATTGTTCCACTCAGAAAGACATGAAATTCCATAAATTGTAACTTTTGGCCTTTTCAATCCCCTATTGATCATCATCTCGCTTTCGTCGTCATCTGAGCATCCTGGTGCCAAACAAACGTCAACTTTTTATGTCAAACAGAAAACCACCACAACCCAGTGAATTTTATAACCTGTGCGTGTTATTGAATGTTCAAAATTTCCAAGTTTTGGTCCCTGTCCAAGAAATATTTATTTAGGAGATCAAGAAGAATGGGAAGCCTGCCTTCCTCGTATGACTACCTTTCATTTCATCGCGAATTCAATATTATGAGAAATCAGTGGTCGCGGAAGCCGTGGGGACATCGGGACATTAACATTGTAGGATAGGGGAGGGAAGGATTTTGTATAACATGGGCAGATGATGGTGACGTCTAATAACCGTGGGGACATCGTCCCTCTGTCCCCACGCTTCCGCGGCCACTGTGAGAAATATGTATATTGAACTTGCGGACCATGTATGCACACAAGATCCAGGAGGAAGTTGTAAAATGTACAGATATGTAAGTAAGAGAGCAAAATACTGGTATGAAAGGAAATCCAGTCTCAAATACTATGTGTGCAGAAGGGCACCTGACGTCTTGCTTTCATATTTTACGAATCAAGCGGAACGACGAACTGACGAGGTCCTTTTTCGATACGGTTGTCAAGTTTCGATTGAACTCGGTAAAATATTAATTTTTAGGGACCACGTTACGCTAAGCTTGTATGTATTCGGGATGTGGTGATGAATTTGGGGTAAAGCAGGATGATATGAAGTCCTGCAGATTTGCGAGGATGCTAAATATGTGGTGCATAGTTTTTGCAATATCTGTAGTTGATATGGGATGGGGATTTTTTATCTAAAATATCCTGAAAAGGGGGTAGTATTTAATATTCAGTATTCAATTTGTAGTATTTGTGGGACAATATAGGATTTATGCGAAGGGTGGCTTTTCTGTAAACGGGCTGGTTTGGATAGATTCCATAGAAAATGGGTTAAATTTCAAATTTACAAAGTTTGCAATGGGAAAATAGACACAAATCTTAAGAAGTCACTACATTAAATTACATATCTCTCTCACTACGTATCTTTCTTATGATTTCCTGATTTTACAATGTAGTTAGAGTTTTGTATTTAATATAGCTCAAATTTGTATGGTAATCTTGATCTCAAAAGTAAGTAGTGTGGTACTGTGGTCATCGAGCAGAGTGAGTTGAATTCCAATGGCACACTTTAAAGTCTCCTCCAAAGAAAACCACTCATATTTTTGTTTCGAAAACGGTATCATGCTTAAAGCTGGATTCTTGACTATGCGACCTTAAACCCAGCTCTCCTTACTGACCATCCTCTTCTGACGTTAAAAAGATCTTTTGCACGTTTTAATTTAATTTAACTATTACTTCGATTTTAGAGCTTTATTTACTTTGAAATTATATAAATTTGAAATGCAAATGCATACAAAATCCAGGAGCGAAGTTGTAAAATGTATAAACTAAGTACAAATATGTAAGAGCAAAATTCTGGTATGAAAGGAAATCCAGTCTCAAATATTGTGCATGCAGAAGTGCACCTGACGTCCTCCTTTAAAGCGGAATAAAATTGAATAGGAAAACTTATGCTAATTATTACACTATAGGGTGATACATAATGCTGTGATTTTGTTGTTTTAGTTTAGTTTTAGTTAAGATCTCATATATACGTAAACAATAATTAAAATTAAAACAATTCCTTAAAATAATTTAGCCTGGAAAAACATTATATTTTCATCAGCTCGGAATTGTATCATATTCTCAAACACATAACGCACTAAATACCAAATACTCTATAATTATTCTCATTCTTAATCATCCAAACCTCACTTCAGTATATGTCGACCTTAAATCTTAACCTTACACATACACACTTGGCCCATTTTGTAGATAGATAACAACACGTCCAAAATGTCAAGCTGTCTCCGATAACCTGGTTGCCCTCTGCCCTCGTACGTACATATTCTCGCATACTGCACGACACACAGCCTCTTATGTCCAAAATATGTACTCCTCAAAGTAAATTAAACATCAAGGATTTCCAGCAATGTCGTTAATATGGCATACCGTCCACATAACTCTCGCACATAGTTCTTCCCCTCATCCGATATCCTTTTGTCTGTACAGTTTTGCATACTCTCCGTTGGGGAAAATATGTAGTTTTGCATACGCGAAATACTCTCGGCCAGGGAAACTATGCAATTTAAACTAACCCACAGTATGTCATTCCTAGTGCATACTTATGTACAAAAAGATACCAAAGTAAATACATTTGCCCATGAAGGAAAGTACAGGGTGTTAATAAAGTCCGATCCCATTTTTCCTGTAAAAAAGTGAAGGCTAGTATAAAAAAAAACTACCCGTGATACTTACAAAAAATGTTCGACATATTTACCTTAGTATTTGGTCTTGTTACCATTTACTTTAACCATGCCCTCAACTCTTTGTTTAAGGCTCTGTGCTAATTTTTCCAATGTGCCTCTGGAAATCGAATTCCATACATCTTGAACTTTTTTTTACTAGCTCTTCCCTCGTCCGGGGTTGTGGCTCTTTGTATACATTTTCCTTAAGTATGGACCACTGGTTCTTCAGGGGATTCAAATCTGGGCCGTTAGCGGCCCACACCCCCTTGCTCCAGACCGTTGAAACTTGCGTCTTGATGAGACTCAAACTCGCTTTTGCTGTATGGGCTATAGCACCATCCTGCATGAAAACTATTTTTCTTTCATTCGGAAATATTTCCTTGTTCCCCATGCTATCGAAATAGATAGGTAATATTTTTTCCATATAATGCTTTGCATTGACTGATTTGCCTTTTGGTATGATATGTAGAGGGGTCACGCAACGTGCACAAAATCCACCCGCTACCATAACTTTAAGCCCGAATTTTGGGATCGCTCTTGATGGTACATCCGATTTGTTTTCTGTCCTGTAACGAACATTTTGTTGGTTCAATTTTGGATATAGTTCAATAATAGATTCGTCAGTCCAAAGGATGTGACTGCGCAATTCTTCACCAAGTCTTTTTTCACTCAAATGGGCACTTTTCTGAAGGAGTTCTTCAAATTTCAGACGGTCATCGATATATTTTTGTGACATGAGAGGTTTTTTTGGTTAGTTTGTAAGCTGTGTGACCCCACTTCGTAGTTTTCACAAATTTTTGCACGGTCACACAGTTAATTTGCTTCTTCTTCTCTTTATAGCGTTTTGAGTCATTTAACTCCCTTGCTCAATTACGTAATGAACTACCGGTTTTCTTGCAAAGTCTGTTTTTAATCATTCTTTTTGTGGTAGGTGACACCTTTCTGGGTCGCCCTGGTCGCTTTTTGTCGTGGACAAAATTTTTATTCTTCCATTTCCAAACAGTTCTGCGGCTGCAGCCCAATTTTTGCACAATTTCTGTAGGTTTAAGCCCCTGCTGATGCAATGTTTGTATCTCAACTCTAAGATGCTCATGACTTACACGTTTAGTTGTTCCTCCCATGGTAAAAATTTGAAATAAATAACTTCACTGGTTCAAAAGTTCCAGCTGAATTTGTAACAACCACGCTCCAAAAAATGCATGGGATCGGACTTTATTAACACCCTTTAGTAGCGTTGCCTGTTCCAACTTTGTCTGCCGTTGGTCCGTATTATTCTTGCCCTTCAACTCCACATCCCAGGAGGAGAGAAGAAAAGGGAGAGTCGCACCGTCCTCGGAGTCAGTCTCAGTTTCCATTCTGCACCTTTCTCATCTCAACCTCAAGCAACTGGACAACTTTCTCCGCACACCTTTCACTCTCTCCAAGAGACCAAACAACCTGAGTGAAAATACGTTTTCTTCTCTCTCTCTCTCTCGCATTCCTCAGCAGTTTCAGGTAATTTGTCCAAAGGCGAGACTATTAATGGAAAGTCAGGAAGGGTTGAAAATGCAGATATTTTCCTCTGAATAGAAAAACTTTGGTTGATGACAAAAATCTCAATTTTGCAAAGTCTCCTAAAACTAACTTTCCTTTTCTCAAATATTGAAATTATTGATTCCAATCTTACATAATTCCTCTTCTCCTACTTTCCAGTAGATTGCAAATGTAAGCAGAATTCTAAGATTTAATCTTCTTTTTCTTAAACCAGGAGGAAAAGTGCGGCCCGATAGTGAACAAAAAAGTGACTGGATTGTAATTAGAAAATTGGGAACCAATATAGTATCAAAGTGCCCCTTTGAACCTTATCTTATCAGGCATCTTATCAGGAACAGTATAAAAGTAGACAAGTGGTTATAGAAATATCTATCTTAAAACCCGTGGGAAAAAATGGCTTCTTTAAAATTCTCGTCATCCTGGAACACTTCATCCGCGCTTATGCTCTTCCTCGTCGTTGCGTTCGGTAAGAGTCAAAAAGTTTTGTTTCTTTCAATTTCAGTCGCTTGCATTCATTGCTCGGATTTCAAAAGAAACGAGAAGAATAAGGATTTTTGGGTCCGATTTGTAAATAAATTAGGAAAAATCAGCAGATTCCTACCTACGTAAATATCAAAGTACGTAATACGCAGCATGGAAAGTGGGGAAAAATAGACATAACATTCACTCACGAAGAAAGACCAAACTTTCCACACGATACACACATTCACTTCAATCCAATCTCATCTCGGTGCAGTTTTGTGGGGAAAGTTTTGCCGAAGCCAAAAAAATGTTGGGAAAATTCAATGAATTATTTTTTTGCGGAGAAACCAAATAACAAAGTCGTACCGCGGTGTGGATTAGATTTGTCTATTTCTTGTTTATTTTCCCAAAGTGTTGTAATCTGGGCAAGAAATGGAAATGTTTTCAATAATGATACTGGTCGACAGTGGAATTTTCCATGTATCCCTCTTTTTTTCGTGCTACTGTTAGCGACTACTTATGTACTTTTCACAAAACGGTTCTAGAATGCAAACACTTTCTTTCTTGTGGTCCGGATGTACATAGAATAGTCGTCGTCCAACTATTCGACATTGTGTGACCATTGAACGTCAGTCCATCAAATATATGATTTTCCCCAATTTCTTCCCTCTTTTATCAGTTTGTCTAAAATTTAGTCCATTTCATTTCCAGAATTTACTTCCTTCTTTACTTTACTCTAGTTTATTTCCTTCTTGTCTGATTTCTATTCCTCCTCGCAGTCTTTTCCTTGTTTGCTTTGCCGTCGTCGTCGTCGTCCAAGAAGTCATGCACAGATGCGATACACGTAAGCGGAGAGACCCTGAAGGAACAAAACACAAGTTTAAACTTTGGGCAAAAGACCATAAGACAGGAGCACACACACACAGTTTCTTTACTTGCATAGACTCGGTCTCTAAATATATCTGTGCCTTTCTAGCCCAACTTCCAAGACTTTTCCAACATGCCAAAATTCTCTCCCTGGGAAAAGTTGTGTTCTGTAATAATAAAATAAAATGGACGAGCATGGAGGAATTCAGGCATTAAATATTTTGTGAAAAGCTGTGTGTACCCAGATTCCACCCCTGCTTGCCTTTTCATATCCCCCTCCTTTTGCTCCTGACATGAATGACATGCTGATGGTGACGGTGACTTACAATTATGACTCTCATTCCCTTACCTCAAGATGAAGAAGAAGAAGTAATTAAAACATCAGGGTCACCTCTTCCTCCACGAAAAGGAAGGGAGAAAGCATGGCCTGCAGCAACGCATGGAGGTAATGCTTACTTACTCCTCCTGCTACTGTCCATCCACCAGTTTAGCCCGACATTCTTATCCGGGATGCAACTTTCTCTTTCTCCGTATGAAATCCAGCCCAGCTTGGTGGCAGTGGTGGTGGTGGGCTGCCTGGTGTCGTAGTCCTTACTTGGTTACTTCCTCTCACTGGATTGGGTTTAACGATGATGACATCACCAAATTAGGAGGGACAACTCAGATTATTCCCAGTCTTCTTATTCCATTAAGTCCACAACCAGGCAGTTTAGTGCGCCTAATTGGTTGGTAATTTCCCTTAATTGTCCACTTTATTCCGGTCCCCCTCATTAAATACAGGATTGTTAGTTTGCTTTGCCTCTCCTTTTTCAGACTGACTGACCATGCAAAGGAAGCAAGTTAGGAATCAAAGAAAATCGTGATTCATTTCTAATTTCCATTTCATTGCACTTGCTCAGACATGTGTTTCAAATTTGTGTGGTTTTCTCCTCCGAAATGGTCAAAGTTTTCAGGATGATGATGACAATTCCTTATAATTACCGAGTCTAGACTCAATTCTTCACAAGTCGGTAAACGGCAATAAAAGAAAGAAGAAGAAAAAGAAACAAAAACTTTCTTGGTTTAAAATGTGATCTAGGACAAAAAAAAGTTGAATGACGAGCAGGTGGAAAGAATTCTTCGAGTGTTTTCGTCTCTTTTTGTTTGTTTTATTCCAATTTTTTAACATGTTTTTCCATTCGGACGACTCAAATACCACGAAACAGTTTGCTACTTTTTTCCCTTTTTCTTTCTTCATGGATCGGTTCTCACACCCACTTTGTTTCATTCATAGGTTTTTTATCCTTTGAAAATGAAAGAACCACATACAAAATTACTTTTAAGATAGAACCCTCCTTATCCAGGAGGAGCTTATCAGGATACGAAATCAGAACGTGCGTGTATCTGTACTGCAATTGTTGTTTGCACAAGTTACTTACTCTCACAATTCCTCATGCTCGTAGAAAAGAAGGAATTGACAACAACAACTTAAAAGAGAAAAAGGACCAACAAACAGCGATTTACTTTTCGTACCTATCCCATTTAAAATTTCTTGAATCAATTCTATTTTTTGGGAATGGAAATGGAAAAGAGCACACCAGAAAAAAAATCTGTGAGGGAAACGATTCCAAAGTAGATCTACTTTCCATTGAGGAGCAAAATAATACAACTTGACATTTCATTTTATTCTCTTTGAATGTGGAGCAGGGCAGGAAAAAGGGAGAGAGAAAGTAGAAAAGGACGATCAATTTGATTTAACAATGCCATTGTCTTGTCACTTTGAAAACGGCGGCTCTAATTTCCCGACATATTTGGTCGCCATATAGTGTAAGCGAAAATGGGAAAGGGCATGGACTCGTGAGATACATGGAGAAATATAAATCTGAGCAAGATTATCTACCAATAAATCTGCGATATTTTAGATTTCTTATTCACTAATTTGGCATGAGACTATTTAACTTTGTCGAAATTTGCAACGTTGTCTGTCACAAATTTACTCTCCGACCAAACTGATCTTCTCCCGTTCTCTTTGTGACGGGTGGTCTGGTGGTTTAAAGTGAAGTGAAAAACATGCCATGAAAATCAGTTGATTTGAATATACCAAATTTAGCATACTTATCAATCCTTTGAAACTAACTAGGAAGTGGTAAATGTGAAACTGTGTTTGTACACCTTGACCAAACCTGTCAAGCCTCCGTATTATTCTGAATCTCACCCGTATCATGCGAGCACCAAACCACACCACATCACATTAATAATTCAATTGAGTTATTACCTTGAAAACGAAGGGAGCCGTGGTTAGAGGAAATCTGCATACATCGCACATCGTAAACTAAAAGCTTATCCTTGCAAAGTAACCATCCCGACTTGAAATATAACCCACTCACTATCACTCAGTTGCTCCTGCTAAACCCACTCCCGAGTAATTAAAACGCCACCAATTATACCCCGTGTCACACTAACGGCAACATTCTTGTTGATACTGCGGCTTGAGCTTATCTTCCTTCTCCATGGGCGAACCTGAGATTTGTGCCCTTGCATATGTTACATCTCTGTAACACACCCATTTTCGCCCGACAGCATGGATTTGTTCCATGATTTTCATCCCCCAAAATCAAAGCATTGTGCCATTCCGACTAATTATATCAACCTCGATAAGCACAGCTCATGTAGCTTGTGACCATAATATTTATTTATTTACAAACTGTAAATGTTCCGCGTGTGGGTCGACTATAGTCTGTAAATAAATAAACAAACAAACAAATCCTGTTTACCTATATGAAAGTCCGTATCGGGTTGAAGAGTGAAGGTGGAGGTCATAAATAAACTAGTGTAGTAAACCTAAAGCCCAGCCCGACCGACCAACGGACCGGAGGAGGAGGAGGGGAAAAGTTGGATAATACCACCACCACCACGGCTTCCACTTACTTTTACATCTCGCATGGGATTTCTCATCTTAATTTATTTCACAACCAATCCACCTCTTAATTAACTCGTTAGTATTCATCACATTGAACACGGGGGATTCCTGCTCCGCGTAATTCACGAGTGTGTATGTGTGTGCAACATGAGTGAGCTCATTTTCGGGGAGGCGAGCAGCACTTTCACTTTACATTAATTAGACACTGTTGGGAGCAGAAATGACCTAGATAAGGTTCAGATTTTGGTAGTAAAAATATGAAGCCCTTTCATTTAATGCAAATCTGAGGGGGTAGGTAAACTATAGATGCGAGGCACATCTGAGGCATAAATAATGCAGAAATAAAGAAGGTGCTATATGAAACGAATAAAATGCGAAAATTTCATTTAGACGGTTGTAGGATATCCGGCATCAAAAAGTGGTCTGCAAACTTTCTCAGATTTAATGATTTATTTAACTTCCCATAAAATAGTTGGGAACATTAAATTGAAATTTGTTCCGAGATAAAACTTATGACATGTGCAGTTTTGGGAAAGTAATGAATAAACGTATCTAGTGACAAATATTGCCACGAAATTGGTCTTTAACCGTCACTTTATTCTGTATGAATGACTCTCAAAAAATCCGAGTCAAGATTATTTTGACTATGCTTCTTACATAAAATGTATGTACATTTGCATATGGACATCATGAATGCATTTTGGGTTCAAGGAGTGAAGTCATTTTTACCCCCACATGAACAAGTTAATTACATCCCTCCCATAAATAAGTGAGCAGTAAGTAGAAATGTAGTGCTGGATGAACTCTGCTCCAACTCTTTGTAGTCCTCGTTACCCCAAAAAGCTCATTTCTCAAGACCAAGAAAGTTGCTAACCTTATAGGAAAATATACTTGGAAAAGAAGCAAAGCTGGCTGTTTAGGAGGGCGGGGAGGAGGATCTCCTCGAGTTAAGTTACTATAAGTAAACCAAGCCATGAAAAGATATAAATCCGGAGTGTATAGGGATGGTAATCCGTATCCTAAATTAACCGATCCGTAGGATAGGATCGGATAAATACAGGATCGGATCGGATCGGATTTGCTCGCTTTAGGATCGGATCGGCTCCCGGTTCTACTCGAAATCCGATGCGATCCGATCCTAGGATCGTAGAATATCCGCGGATGATCCAAGATTCACTTGATACGTATGTGTGAGACACCTTGTGTCTAACTATGGAAAAACTTTACCAGCTGCTTTT